GGGGGGGGGGGGGCGGCTGTTTTTCCTTTCATGCTGGTATACAGGAGCAGTTGAAGACAGAAGATACTTTCATAGATTCATGAGACGCTGTGCAAAAAGACCCCAAATATAAGCACACACAGTTGAATCCATTCTGGCTACATCACCTTGAAAAATTGCAATTAGGCACAGTAATTATTTTTTCCTGCTTAGAGACGAGTTCTAAAATGTTACATTTACATTCTTTTACAATGACCCAAATGGTCCTCTTTGTCTGGGGAAATAAAAGAAATTAGGAAAATTAATTCATGTCTGTAGGTTTACAGAAGTAGGACCTCAGTTTTGGAATCAGAAAGAACTGTTCTTGGGGGTTTTCTGTGAAGGGAACCTAGAATATGCTGGTTACTCTTAGGTTGGACAGTCTTAAAATAGTGAAAGACAAAACCTGGTTTATTTGTAACCTTTTGTTTTGGTAATTTTGACATGTACTGCTTCAGTTTTGACCTTCCTTACTTACATTTTTCCCAGGACCACCTTATTCTTCAAAATGTTTTTTTTTTATTATTTATTTTAAACAAACAAATGCCCAAATTTTCATTTTGAAATGGTCAAAACAGGAAATGGAGAAAATAGTCCTTCCCTGAAAAAGTTCTTAATATATTGGCCCATTCCAAAAGCAGGACTGCCAGTCAGTCCTACTGAAGACCCACTGAGCAGACCTGTCTGGTGACATATCAAGCTGTCATCGTCCCCTCAAAGTCCCCCAAGCTGAGTCTTTCACAGCCCATCTCCTGTGCTTCCACCTCTCCTTACTACAAACCATCTGTCAGGAAAGATCAACTTAAGCAATAGGGGAAGTAAGGAAAAGCTGCTCAATGCATTTGTACAATGTTGGGTGAGTAGGGAAGAGATGGGTGAAACATGATGTGCTCCACAGCATGCCTTGGGCCAGGCCAGGATCAGTCCTGCTTCTCTGCAGCCTGTGGCTGGGGTCAGAGCAGAGCAATTCTTGCTAGCAGGTCACTGAGCCTTTGTGCCAGCAGGTTTTGTAGCACTACTCAACCAGCCCAAGTCCTTTTGTGAACAAAAAGCCATTAATGTTCTGCAGAGTTCCTGGAAACTAACAAAAAACTTTGCATTTTCCAGCTGTTATAGTTCATGATGGTGAATGTATATAAAAGAGACTAAAAAGATAAGGGTACTTTGTTTCTGTGCATTACAATATCTCTGATCATTTTTCATAGCAAGAGGCACTAAATTCTGTAAAACTCTCCACAGTGGAAATGATGGAATAATTTTACTATTTATGGAATATAAAATTAGATTTGAGAAGCATAAATAAATATGCAATAGGAAATTACTGTGATGGCAGGAAGATGAACTTGCTGACCAAAAAGGTCTTTCTCTCTTTAACTCTGGTGATTGCATAGATATGTTTTCATTTGTTGTTAATAAAAAATAATAATAATAAATGTAGCTAAATGTAATGAAACTTGAGAACTCTTGAGCTGATAAGCTGTATGGTTGAACAGTCATACATATTTAATAGCCAAAGTAGGAAAATATAATTCACCATTTCTGTTCAGTCTTTGAAATGTTTTTGATACACCTATAAAATGTATTTTTAGCAGCCATTATGAGTTTGTTCAGTGGTGGTGTTCCACAATCCTTTATTTCTTTTGAAACCAAACACGTTGTATATTTTCTGCCCAGATGGTCTTCAAAGTCTAGGCAAGGCTCTTAGGTGTGTCTTTGGCTATGACAGCACTGTGCTTGGGAGAAAACAATGTCTGTGGCTCCTAGGGGATGGGTTAGTTCAGGTCAAAACCCAAGAGAGGAGGCAATTTTGACCCGCTCACCCCACATGTAGTGGAAATATCTCCCAACCACCTTTGTTTGTCGGCCTCTCCATATTATATCATGATCTCTTCTGCATGTTGCAGTTTATCAGGAAGAAGGGTTTATGCCAAGGTAAGCATAGAGAGAGAGAGAGGAATCAGCACAACTAGACCTGTGTGTACCTGCTTTCCTGATGTAGTAAGTGAGCAAACATTGGTCACCTCATCTAGCCATGCATAAAACAACCTACTTGTCTTTTGATGTTCAAGGCAGGAACTGTGTGTGAGTTTACCTGAATCCCAGTAGAATGAAGCTCCATTTCTTCCTGAGATAGTGACAAGACTGGCAAGATACAGATTTTAAAAATAACAAGAGTAATCCAGAGCTTCACAGAGGATTAGAGATGTTCTGACTCAGTACCAAACTCAATAAAGTGCACTAATGAGAAGCAGAATAGCTTTTAATAGTGAAAGGGGCAACAGGAATGGAAATTAAAATGCAAGAACTGCCAGGAAAAATATGCAAACTGCACATTCAGAAAACACTGCAATTCTAGATCAGTGCTGATCCTGCATTTGACAAGAGTTAAATGGAATGGATGTTGCTTTTGGCTGCTAAGAGTCAATAATACAAAAGTTGATATTGGGTCTGCAACTTTCTACAAATTACCAGGGCATGTAAAGATTAGTGGGACGTGTGGTTTAGATATTAACTACAAAGCACTTTGATATATTGGCCTAATTGAACACAAAAGACTTTTGTTCTGCTCTCCTCTGGATGTGTCAGTGAAATAAGTTACTTTTTATGGCTAATTCACACCAGAAAATCAGGCTTGTGACTTGAGTAGGTTTACAACCATGTATCATCTATCATATTAGATCTGAGTTATAAAAAACCACCTCGCTACATGGCATGCGGCGATTCAAAAATACAAATCATGTCTTAAGAAGTCGTGGGGACTACACGGTTTTGTTCTTTTCAGTTCGTTTTTACTTTCAATTGCTGTTGCTTAGAGCATACTAGCAGGCCAGTATTGCCAGTGGCAACTCCGTTTACTTTATGACGAGTCTTGTTTGCCCCCCTGTGGTAGAACTAGAAAAGGCAGAACTGGAGTTCTGTTTCTCTTGTTTGCGTTAAGGGCCGGTGCTTCAAATACTTCGGGTATGAATAACCTGGTGCTGATTTTCCCTTTTTTATACAGCTAGGTTACCCGCCGGCACCCGCATAAGTGAACCCTTCGTTTTTAGCACGCAGAAACACACCAGAATAGGCAACTTTTTATTTTTAGAAGCATGAATGAAGAGAACTCAAAGGCATTTTTGTTCACTATTTTTGAATATACTATATGTAGTTGTAATAATCTTTCAGGAGGGGTATCCAAGCCTACCAAGTTCAATGACACGATTATGTCAAAGTATAGAAAGGCAATTGAGTTTTTAAAATTGGCAGTAAATAACTATAGACAATCAACCAAATCTAATAACTGCAAAGCAGTTGCTGGGCTCCATCGCTGAAAGAATTCAGATTTTCTGTTTCTTAATTAACTAGCAGGCTTTTAAAATGCCAGTCTTTTATATCCACTTTCTTTTTTTCACAGTTTATGTAAAATTTTATATATTTGAAGCAGAAGTAAGCAATATGTGTCTGCTCCAAACCCTGCTGAAGTTAATTAAAGTAGCATCACATGAGCTAATACCTAAACAAGGAACAGTATAACACCTCACTGATATAGCTGTGATGGTTTTGATCCTGTGTATGACTTCTGAACAGTAGGAACAAACCGGCTTGATAAGCAAAAAGCCTGTTGTAAGGCTGCAGAGCAGTAATGAAGATTTTTGTGCATACTGATTAAGAATTTTGTATGGCTGTTAATAAAAACCATTCTGTTTTCTTTCTGAGTAAAATCACCCAGTCTGGGCAAGTTCAGTTGTCTTCAATTAAGCTATTAATCCTCTGGCTCTGCTTTTCTAACAGCATTTCATATTTTTACTTTTATCAAGTGCATGAAGGAAAAAATTGGGACCACAAAACAGAGAGAATAATAACAAAAAAATTATACTTTCTTTTATGTCAGCTACATCACTTATTCTTTGTAATCTGAATAAAGAGCTAGACTCCAGGAGGTTGTCTATGCTGTCAGACTATCGTGAACACAACTTCTTGGCATCATTTGACAGCTAAAAAAAAAAAAAAAATCTACATCCCAGCTTCAGAAGCCTTCAGATTAGAGAAGACACCCAAGGCTGTTAGTCTGTAGAACTGGCTGACAATGGAAAAGAGGAAAGTGCATCATCTGACATATTTAAAACTGCATGGAGAGCAGTCCTGAACTGACAAGGTGATGGACTACTCCTAACAGGCCTTTTCCATTTTTAATTTCTATAATAGGAATCATAGTTCAAGCTCTATACCAGTGACAAGTAATCTCATTTTTAACTGGAAGTTACCAGAATGGGAAACATCAACAACCTAAGCACTGTGGGAAAAGGCTAAGATTAGCTGGAAGAACATTTATGTGACATTTATGTGACAGAAATCAGCAGTGGATCACTATATACTATTAACCTGACTCTATACAGCTATTATCATAATGTCTGTCCTAACTGTACAAAGTATGTTTTTTTCCTAAATTCCACTAAAACACTAATAATATATTTTTATCACAGTGTGAGAGACATGTTTCAGTTTTTATTATAATTCATTGTTTTACAGCTGCTAAATACATAGTAGAGTAAACATGGAGGAAATGTAGTAGCATGAAATCTTGGCATTTGCAGTAGGATACCAGTTTACTTTCTCTGCTTTTTTAATTGCAATAGATAGCAAATATCAGCAATTTGGCCCTAATGGGGATTCATAAGCTCTGTAACACAAACCAGAATGGCCAACACACCTGATCCCTCAGCTTCTCTCCCAGTTCTTGTTTTCCTTAAGTTTGATCTTAAGTCAGCAAAATAAATCAAAAGCAAATACTTAGGACTGAATGTTAATTAAACATAAAAATCAGTGAAAAGTGAATTGGGTGCATAAATTTATTTATTTTTTTTAACTGGCAAGCAAAGAACTTAAAATGAGTACAACAAAAAGAATACATTATTTATGTTTGTGTAATCAATTTGTTAGAGAAATCTTTCCTCTAAAAGGGACAGAAGTAGCTTAAGGACAAATATAGCTGACAGGATTTCCCATTCAAGTCAGAGGGACTAATCACAAGTTTAGGTTAAACATGTACTTCAGTACCTCCCATATCAAGCATCTCACATATAAAAGGCAAACACATGTATGCTGATAAACTAAACATGTTCTGCACACTTTAAAATACTGTTACCTGCTCTCTTTTAAATAACAATTCGAAAGGGTAGCTATGACACATTTGTACTTAGCATTTGTACTACTGTGTAAAACAAAAAAGTTCACTTGCACAAGCTATATCTTCCATTTAAAAATTAGCTGCCAAATTTGTCTATGGAATATGCTGTATTGTTTCACAACTGCTGAAGATTAATCTGTGAAATGCTTTTTCCCCACAGAATTATGAAATTTCATGTTGCAAAGAGAAAGTTTAAGGAAACACTTCGTCCATATGATGTCAAAGATGTCATTGAACAGTATTCAGCAGGTCATCTAGACATGTTATGCAGGATTAAGAGTCTTCAGTCACGGTAAAGAAAGAAGAATTTCTGTTCTGCATAAGAACCTTACGTTACATCATTCACTATATAATGAACATTGGTAACAATATTTCTGTGTTATATTTGTGTACAAATTGCCATCCATGCTTCAGCCCAGCCTCTCTTTCTGTGAACAGAGCTGAGCTAGAAATTACATTGTGGGTAAAACAAAACCAAAAAAAAATGTATCAAAACTTCCCCCAGAAAATGGAAGTCTGAACAAGAGAGAAGGTAATCCTTTACCTGTAAAGTCATGGAATCATAGAATCATTTAGGTTGGAAAAGACATTTAAGATCGTTGAGTCCAAGTGTTGACCCAGCGCTACCAAGTCCACCAACCAACCATGTCCCTCAGCACCACATCTACGTGACTTTTAAATACCTTCAGGGATAGTGACTCCACCACTTTCCTGGGCAGCCTGTTCCAGTGTTTGACAACCCTTTCTGTGAGGAAATTTTCCTAATATCCAATCTAAATCTCCCCTGGTGCAACTAGAGGCCATTTCCTCTTGTCTTATTGCTTGTTATTTGGGAGAAGAGACCAACCCCCACCTGGATACAACATCCTTTTTGGCAGTTGTAGAGAGCAAGAAGGTCTCCCCTGAGCCTTGTTCCCTCCGGGCTAAACAACCCCAGTTCCCTCAGCTGCTCCTCATAAGTCTTGTGTTCTAGACCCCCCACCAGCTTTGTTGTCCTTCTTTGGACACACTCTAGCACCTCAATGTCCTTCTTGTAGTGAGTGGCCCAAAGTGAACACAGTGTTTGAGGTGCAGCCTCACCAGTGCTAAGTACAGGGGAGGCCAATCGCTTTCCTAGTCCTGCTGGCCACACTGTTGCTGACACATGCCAGGATGCTGTTGGTCTTCTTGGCCACCTGGGCACACTGCTAGCTCACATTCAGCTGGCTGTTGACCAACATTCCCAGGTCCTTTTCCGCTTGGCAGCTTTCCAGCCACTCCTCCCCAAGCCTGTGAACCAAAGTAATTCGTAACCTATTCATTGGGTCACACGACTGTGACAAAAAGTCCATTCATAAACAAGGGATTCAGTCAGGAGGTTGTCAAAAGGGTGAGGCTGACATTGAGAATTGCATTTCTCCCATTCCAGACTTCTCTTTTCACAAAAAATAAATTGGGAACTACTAGTAACATAGTATTTAGGTAGTTTTTATGTTCTCAATTCTCAGCAATATTAATTTAAAAAAACAAACCCACAGCATTGCATCATGCGTATCTTTGCCAGCATCAGGGCTCAGATTCCTGCTTCAAACAGACAACTTCCCCAGGACTCACTGCTGCTGTTAAGATGGGAGAGCTGAGGGTGGCACAGGTATGTCTGTTCTCCACAACATCAGTCTGCTAGAGAGGCCACCTCCTTTCTGCCTCTGTCAGCAAGTTTAGCCCTGGCTCTCCCAGATGATGACTAAGATCTGGTCCATGGTTAGTGCCAACAGAAAAGAAAAGAAATCCCAAATGCTCAAAAAATCATTCTTTTTTTTTAATTGATAAGATTAAGATTGTCCTCCTTCTCACACACTTTTCTGAAGTAGTGTGATTTTATTTTTTAATGTATGGATATAGCTAACACTTTCATATCACCACTGTTTTCAGGAATCACAGCAGCTTTCGATTTCTCTTACAGTGTTGACCAAATTCTTGGGAAAGGGCAAATCACAGCAGACAAAAGAAGCAGAGAAAAGAATCCTGCAGAGAATGAGACAACTGATGACGTCAGTATGTTAGGGCGTGTAGTCAAGGTGGAGAAACAGGTACAGTGATTATCTGTGTTACTTTCTCTTGCTTTACTGCTCATGCCTTTTGTCTATTTTACTACTGGTTTCAAAGGCTGAACAGGTAAAATCTTTTTCTCTAGTACCTGCTCCCTTTGCATGTTGAAATAAAAATTATATGAATCATATTACCTTAGTGGTCTTCTATGTACAGAAAAGTAAAAGAAAATTGCAGGTTACTTAAATGTTTTTCCCTTTTATCAGCTTGCTTATGCTTCTTCCATTTTTCTCTTCAGCAGTCATATTTTCCTTTTGCCTAGGTTCCAAATATTTTAAGCTAGTATTTGGCATTAATGTTAACCTTCTCCTCTCCACTTGTAGGTACAATCCATTGAGTCAAAACTGGACTGTCTATTAGATATTTATCAGCAAGTTTTGCGAAAAGGATCTGCATCTGCGCTCACTTTGGCTTCATTTCAAATGCCAGCTTTTGAGTGTGAGCAGACTTCTGATTATCAGAGTCCATCAGACAGCAAAGATATGTCTAATTCTGCACAAACTAGTGGATGTGTATCCAGATCAGCTAGTGCCAATCTGCCTCGTGGCCTACAGCTTATACTGACACCAAATGAATTTAGCACCCAGGCTTACTATGCTTTTAGTCCAGCTATGCATAGTCAAGCAACACAAGTGCCAAATGATGGACCTGCAACAGTTAGTAACACATCAAACCAAATAAACCAGGCAACTAAGCCAGCAACTCCATCAACATTACAAATACCACCTTTCTCATCCATGAAGCATATCAATAGGCCTGAGCCCATTCATATTATTCCTGTAACCACACAGGAAAATATCTCCGATGTCACCGCTTGCCTTGTTGCATCAAAGGATAATGGACAAGTTGCACAGCCCAGTGTGACGAAGGACCTCACATGGAGAAAAAGTCTGGATACAGGAGGGGAACCTTTGCTCTCAGTTAAACCTGTGGTGCAAATGGATTTAGGAAAATCTTTATCTGTACAAAACCTTATACAATCAACAGAAGAACTGAATGTACAGGTTGCTGGCAGTGACTCCAGTGGTTCCAGAGGTAGCCAAGACATATACTCCAAATGGAGGGAGTCAAAACTATTTATAACTGATGAAGAGTTGGAGGCAGAGGCAGGAACAGAGACTACTGAAGCCATCTCGCGCCCGTTAGTGGAAACAACTCTCTCTGCTGACTCTCTAAGGACTGGAATATCAAGATCATCTCAAAGTATCTACAAGCCAGGGGATGGTACAGAATCACGCAATCTGCTCCACGTCAAGCTTAAATGACAGCTTGTGGGCTTTCTTCATTGGCTGGGTCATTCCTCTAGTCATACATATCATAGCATGAACTGTTTTGAAAGCCTTTTTAATAAGATGAAATCACAAAAATCAGGATGAATTTGCAAAGCAGTTGAATGAGCCCATATCTCCTAGCTGCATGAAAATGCATGTTTAAGTGATGGCTAACATTCAAATTTACACCTACAGTACGGCAGCCTTTGATGTAGTACAGTAGGTTTAAATAATGAGTTGCCTACAAAGCTAATGTTGCAGGATGTATCAAAAAGCAAACATTTGAGCATTTAGACCTAGTGCTGTTTCTACAGGGCAGAAGTAAAAATTGTAAGGTTTAAAGCACTTCGCTTCTGAACTAATTAAATATATATAACATCCTGATTTAGTTGATAGTTTATGTTTACAACAAAAAAATTATCTACAGCTGCTAGCAAGGTACCAAGGAAACCAGTAATATGGGATTAGAAATGGCTACCAGTTGCAAGATACACACATTATCAGTAATCAGTTGTTTTTGACTCTGAAGACGAGAACGTTAATATCCATCTGACTTCTGGTGATTTAGTGCTGTGGTAAAAGTACCTGACACACCACTGTCACGTTATTCTTTATAAGAAGAACATTATTTTGCTACAAAAAAAAGTTTGCATTTTAAGGATTGGGGCTGGCCTCAGAAGTGAGTAACCTGGGTGACTACAATTCAGGGGAATCTCTTCTTCTTCCAGCCTCACTGAGGAGCTATCTTGTGTATCTGAAGCATTTTAGCAGCAGTAGATGAGGGAAGGAAACAGACACTGCCTTTATTGTAGAAGCAATATTTCATTCTGTGGAAATTTTGGCAATTTTCTTTGCAGTCCCAACGTGATACAATGACAGCACTTCATAAGGCTGGGAACTGAAAAGAGAGCAAAAATAAAGAGGTCAGAACATAAAAAAAAAGACAACACAATCAATGAAGAAAAAAACAAAACAACAGATTTAGATGGGCAGGAAGGGAAATGATCCCAGAAAATAAAACAAGGAAGGTAAAGAGGCAAAACGATGGGTTTTGTTTTGTTTTGTTTTGTTTTGTTCTGTTTTTAAATCTAGCCTATCAGTCACAGGTATTGAGTGCTATTTAAAAAAAAAAAAAAGAGGCACGTAGGCAATCAGAAGTGAAAACAGAAGTAGGGAAGGCCACCTTAACCAAAAAAAAAAAAGAAAACCTGAAGGCAAGGGGGTTTTATTTGGTTTTGTTTCCTTGCTTTTTAAATAAAATAGGAAGAGGAGGGGGGAAAGTGGTCATACTCTTATAGCTGAACACTGTGTCCCAACTACAGTAATTTCTTGTGAACTTCCCAAGAATGGACCTTCAGACTCCTTCTTCCTAATACCCAAGTTTCCAAATTCAAAGCCTGCATCAGACCGAGCATTTCTGCTTGATACATCCTCTTTTTTTTCCTCTGCTAGCCTACACTTCACTTCTGCTGAGATACAGGAGCAGTGGTAGTGCCTATCTGCACATGCCCAGCACGGCTTCACCGCTGGGAGGGAGAGCCCTGCGGAGCCTCAACAGGCTTCTTCACTTTTCCCACCTGAAGGAGGTTTCTGTGCATTGCCTCCCCCCAGCTTTATGCCCCACCTGCACCACTGGCTTGTAGACAACCCATCTTGGGCTCAGCTTCCCTCTAGTAGCAGGAACACCGAATGTATGGGGGTGCCAGCGCCAGCTCACTCAGGGCAGTGTTTTCTCAAGGCCCAGACCTGCTGGGAACTTACTCTGTACATCAAAAACATCACTCCAGTCTTAACCATGGCTAAATGCTGTAGATTGTATCGTGAAGGACTTGACTTGTTTACTATGAAACCGTTGTAATTCTTGCTTCCGTATTTCCTTTACAGAAGTATTCTGGATGTTACATGACAACCTTACTATGTGAAAGTACATACAAACCGTAGAGTGTATATATTGTGTCGTTATACGGGGTCCAGGGATGGTACACTGTGTTCCATGGCTTACAGCAGAGCAAACTCCAGCTGTTAAATCCCGAAAGACACCTTGAAGCACAATTTCCTCACCACTGATTTGCCATATAATTTACCACGTTCAGCGTTTCCTGCTTTTATGTGCAGTCTGATCATACTAAAGCCTGATTACAACAGTCGTTTTGTGAGGATAAACAGTTTTTTTACCACATCTCGGTTCACTTAACTGTTGACTTATTTAAATGTCTGCAGTTTATCCAGACAGATCTGTAAATTTAAAGTACTCTCCAAAATTTAAAAACTTAAAAGTTGTTGGTTTTGGTTTTGTTTTGTTTTATTTTGTTTTAAGGTCCTTATGTCATTTTCCTAACTGTTTATGGTGCCTTTCTTGCCTTTCATATGAAACGCCCTGCTGGCCTAAACATAAACCTGTGCTTAGGTTCAGCTGAGGCAAAAGATCGGGCACATGACAACAGTGTGTCAGTAATAAAACTCCCTTCCCCTCCTTCACGAGACTGAAAAATCAAGGCACCATGAATTGGACACCACTCTTACAGCTTCACCTGCACCAGCAGGTGGTTGCACCCCCACTGGGCCTGGACGGCATCAGTGGGAGAACTGAGCATTGGCCCTGCCTGTACTAATTCTGCACAGAAACAGGGCCTTGGGTTTTGCTGATAATTTATCTTACAGAAACTTGGTATTTTTGCCTTAAATTACATGCTTGAGTCCTTCTAATTTTAAGTTAATTTATTTAATACAATTTTGTGCACAAATGAATGAGTTCTATAAATTATGTATAAAAATGTTAATGTCTTTACAAAGTACTGATAAATATAGAATATAGTATCTTTTCAAATTCTGGTTTAAAATCCTGTTTGGTTTTTTTTTTTTTTTTCCTTATGCTCACCATTATTATTTTTGTAGCTGCAAGTCTTATCATATAGGAATTTTTTAACATAATAATGATATAAAATAGAAAGAGTAGAGAATATATGAAATTCTGGAGAGGAAGAATTGTTTGTTTGAATTTTTATAAGCTTTGCTCATATTTCCTCATGAGGAATTTCCTGTTTCTATGCCCTCTCTTTAAAAGACAGTGTTATGACTGACAGTCATTCATTGGGGTCACAAAAGAAGAATCTGTCTGGCTTGTCAGGGCTTATTAGCTCATGACAGCTAATAAGAACTGTTCATGAGTAGGGACAACAAATTTTTTTTCTGATTTACAATCCAGTTGAGAATTGTTGGAGAGAATCTGAACTTAAGCAAGAACTTCAGGAATTAAGCCTTATCCAAATAACTGTTTTCTGATCAGCATGTTTCTTGTACCTGATTGAAGAGAGAACTGAAAAGAATAGTTTTTATTATTATTATTATTATTATTTGTTTAAAAATTTGTATTTGCTCCTGGCTTATATGATCTATACCTTTTATTTAAATATGAATATGATGTTTTAGCCTAGGGTTCAAGATTGCAAAGATCATACACTTTTAATCACAGTGCCCACAGTTGTTCCATATGTTTTTGAGGTAATCCAACGTAAAGTGACTGCTCTCATAGTATGGTGATGAATAATTCACCTGCTCTTCTGTGATAAGTCAAATCGTACTGAATTGCTGATGTATAGAACACCTGATGTACAGCAGTATTTCTGGATTTGGACCTGCAATCCTTACTCAAGCAAAAATTGTATGGAATTCGTTCATCCTATTGAATTCAAGATTTTTTCTTGAATCAGGAGCTCAGATTCAAATCCTCATTTTGTTGGGCATCTGTTTAAAGTGAAAATGGTAATATTCAAGTTATTTCCTGAGGAAACTAATACTTAGCTGAATTTACCCATGTCACATTGACTATATAAAAAATAACGCACAAAGCAACTGATGTAAAAAGGGAAGAAGAGAAGGGTCATTTTTAAAAAGCACAGAGAAAAGGAGAATACTCAGAAAAGATGAGTAAGCAGGAAAAGAAAATATAACTGCAGAGGAACTAAAAGAGGTTTTAAACACCTGAGGCTAAATTCATCCTTGGATGGCTTCACTGACTTCAATGAATTCACTGCCCAACTGGGTGAAGTTCAGCCTCCATTGGGAAAATCAGGCTCAGTTCCACTGACCTTAAAGGAACTGAACTCACCTGTACCAGGAATGAACATGCCTCTCTGGGCCAACTTTTATCCTGACTCATATGTCATGCAATCCTTTTGGATTCATTAGGTTTGAATGAAATACAGGTCAGAAAAGAATTTGTCTCAGATATTTCTGCTTAACGTTTTTTTTCAAGTGTGTTAATCGACTTAATTCAAATGGATTACAACATCACACAAAGTGCTGTCACTGTCTGAAAAGGTTAACAGGTTTTTGAAATGAGAATTGTCCCCTGCAGTGTCAGTGGAAGCATGTAATATTTTCCTGTTCATTCATATGGATGCAAAAGTGGCCCTTCATTTAGCTGTGGCCACATAAGACAATTCCAGACATATCCAACATCATCTGCTATAGGAAGCACTTTTGACGACTTTGAAAGGTAAGAAGACAGTTTCATAACATGCTTGGAAAGCACGAAGGCTGCTTCCACTGATACTGCAATAACATTAGCCAGTACATTACAATGTTAATTGTAACTTCTTGACAAAGTTGAATCCATATTGTTGTTAATAAAAATTATTTGAAAAGTACCATGCTTACTGGTTTTTTTTGCTTACATAAAAGTTTGTGTGATCTGAGCACATACCAGGCATATTTAAACTTCCTTACTGTTCTCCTTTTGAAGTTTTGTAATTATTTATTAAATGGACCAAAACACCACAAAGGAAGGTTTTTTGAGCAAGATATTTCCGTGTGCAGTGACCCCATACTTCTCTGATGAATGTAATCTCAGATACTGAAATCTAAAGATGCAGTTTCCAGGAAGGCACCTTTTCTGTGTCAGTCATTTATACCCACAGGCTACACGAACATTGCCAAGCTCTGCTTAAGAATAAACACAGGACAGGAAAAAAAAGCAAACATGTGCCTGCTCTGCTTCTGTTAAACTGGGTGTTGTGGTTTGAGGCTTGGAATAGGGTCGTGACCTTCCAGCAACTGGGAGGACC